CATGATCAGAGGTCAGGAAAGCAGACCTTACGATGACAGGCTGAGAGCCATGGGGCCCTTTACCCTGGCAAAGCGCAGGCTCAGGGGCGATCTGGTGGCCACCGATAAGTTTATCAGGGGTGACCACCAGGATCTGGGGGAACGTTTGTTCACCAGAGCGCCCCAAGGGATGACGAGGTCGAACTGTTATAAACTATTGCAAGACCATTTCAGGCTGGACATAAGGAAGAATTTCTTTACTGTCCGAGCCCCCAAGGTCTGGAACAGCCTGCCATCGGAGGTGGTTCAAGCACCTACACTGAACACCTTCAAGAGCAAATTGGATGCTTATCTTGCTGGGATCCTGTGACCCCAGCTGACTTCCTGCCCTCGGGCGGGGGGCTGGACTCGATGATCTTCCGAGGTTCCTTCCAGCTCCAATGTCTATGAAATCTATGAAATCTTTGCAACCCCCCTGCAGGGAGCTGAAGGCTGCTGCCAAATCCCCCCTCATTCTTCTCTTCTGCAGACTAAATCAGCCCAGTTCCCTCAGCCTCTCCTCACCAGTCATGTTCCCCAGCCCCTGAACCATTTTCATTGCCCTCCACTGGACTCTCTCCAGTGCGTCCACATCCTTTCCGTAATGGGGGACCCAAAACTGGACACAGGACTCCAGATGTTGCCTCCCCAGTGCTGAACAGAGGGGAAGGATCACTTCTTTTGATCTGCTAGCAATGCTCCTACCAATGCAGCCACTGAGATCTCCACAGACCCCTCTAGATAGATCCTGATGCTCATCCCCGGGGTCTGGCCTCGGGGCACCTCTCAGTGTTGAGGACTCCAGGAAACTTTTAGACTCACCGGCCAGCTCTGGATCCAGCTCCATTAGGAACTTGGAGCTGGGGACAAGGAACCGCTGGGGACAGTCTGAGGCCTGTTAGGGGGTCACCATGGGCAATCAGTCTCCCTGGCCTTAAAAAAACACGTATCCTGGTTTGCATACAGTCACGTCACCTCAGAGCCACATCTGGGGGCAGGGAGAGAGCACTGCACTGCACGGCTAGAGACCCCAAAGTCAACTGGAAGTTATTCCCCCACCCCGGTGATGGGCGGAGCGATCCCTGGATCCTGCTGCCACCTCTCAGACATCAATACTCGACATAAGCCAGGTCAAAGGGAGCAGCATGGACTGCAATTTCCCTACTCTCGTCTCTTGCTGCAAGGCAGAAGAAGCAGATGTGCCTTGAGTATCCAAGAAGATTAAACCCAGCAGCTTTGGCTGTGCCTAAACCCTCAGCCGGCCAAGTTACAAGCGACCTCCCTGCGCTGTCTCTGTGGGTCTTGGTGCATGGCCTGAGCTGAGTCCTCTTTGCCTTTCTTGGGTTTTCTTTTTGCCTCTTGCAAAACTCTGCTCCCAGCTGCCTCTCCGGCCATTTCATTCCCTTCTGAATTCGTAGAGCTGAGCGAGAGGAAGGATTGCCCAGCGCCGGGGCCATGACAGGACAGCTCTGCCCCCCAGAATGAAGTCCCTGGTAGAGAGCGAATCCCCTGCTCCCTCCCCCCAGAGCTTTGCCCTCACACAGCATGTCTTCCCAAGACTGACCACTTGCTCGCACGCTGAAAGAGCAAATGTAGAAGATGGTGTAGAAGCACCACCTGGCAATGCTGCCCATAGTGCTACTGCAAAAACTGTGTGGTCTGCTAGCGGACCAGATCAAGGCCCCTTTGTGCCACACATTGGACCCCCCCAACACACACCCTTTTCCCCACAGGGGTAACAATCCAAATAGGACACACAGAGGCTGCAGCAAAGAGGGGAGAACCCACTGTAATGTCTGCAACCACTTTATTTTTGTTCGGCCATTTGGGGTTTTATTTTTTGGGGGGTAGGGGGAGGTGGACTCTTTCTGGATGGGCTGGAGCTGGTGGGATGCTTTCCTGTACTGCGCATGTTCGATCTGCTACAAGGCAAGGCTGGGGAGAGAGAAAGGAAGCAGCTAAAAGGACGGCAAGGGAACTTAGGCCGCATCTAACCGTTCTATGGTACCAGGCACTGATTTAAATCAAACGGTTTGGTTTGTTTTTTTTAGATCTCAAGGTTGGCTTTTAACCTCAGCACCCACTGCCGGGGCTGGATTTTCCAGTAGACACAGCGCTTCGCGCACCCGACCTTATCTGAAAATCTGGTCCGTTGGAGGCAGCCGAGACGTGAAAATGCTGATGCATGCACAAAACTCCCGGTTCCAGAGAACTTAATGACTCGGTTCCCATCTCATGGCCGGGGCTGTGGTAAGTGCTCTCTGGGCTCTGCAGCATCGCATGCAGGGAGACAGGAGATATGCGTGCCCCCAGGACAGCATATCAAGCCCAAACCAGCTGCCTTTACCTTCCCCCAAAATGTCAGGCTCTGAGGATGCTCCCACCACTTGCTTCTGGATTCACAGCTAGGTGCAACCCAGCCAGAAGTACAGCTGGGGCCCAGCTGCATCGTCAGCTGGTTACACAGGAGAGACGAGATGAGTTGACCACTGAGGATGCTTGTACACGTTACAATCAAGGTACAGCGCGGACCACTGAGACCACTAAGATGCAGCCCTGGGCTGCTGTCCTGGCTGGTCTCTGAACATGGTGAGTCCCCCCCTGTAGGGCTCACCTGCTATTTAAAGGTGTGCTACCCTATTTCCCTAGGCAGCAGCCCATATTAGCAGACTCCTGCAAAGTAGGGGAGTGTTATTCCTCCCATTTCCTAGAGGCATGGGAAGTGTAGAGCCAAGCAGGAAATTGAGATAATGCCTCAAAAGCAGAACAAACTGCTGGATTTAGCGCTGGGTCAGTCAGGTCCATGCGATTCAGGAGCTCACACACTCTTCAACTGTCCTAGGCTTACAAAACCCAGAACCAACCCCCACAAAACCTATGAATCTGATACCTCAATCCCTGGATTGCCTTCCAGCACCGCTGCCATGTTTTGTTCTAATGACCCCTTTGTAGTTCATTTTAAGGCTGGCAGTTAAAACAAAAGCACGTCCCAGCAACCAACAGGATGCAAGACGTGCGCTTCTGCTCTTCCCACACCCGGCATTTTTCCACTTGGTTTTCCGAGCCGTTTGCCAGCGGCCATCTGACCTTTTGGCGCGTGGGTCCCTCTGACATCTTGACATCCGTTTCAGGCTGCTAGCTGCTCTTTCATTACCTATATGGTAGTGGCGTGCGCGGTCCCTGCTTTATTGTTTGGGTTCTTCTAAGGAAATGACAGGTCGGAAAAAATGCCGAAGCCGGGTCACTTTGTTACAATCACAACGTTTCCTGAGCTCGTTGGAGCAGCTGAATTTTATCTTGTTTACCCAGAAGTTGCCTGCAACACATTAATCTCAGCAAATCCCTGCTCTCAACCCACAAGATCTGTGCGTTTGTAGGAGAGCCCTGGATTACAACGGAAAAGTCCAAGAGTTGAAGAGGCTTAAACCTGAGCTTACAGATGCTCCAGAGAGAGACTTATTTTTGCTTTATCCAGACAACGGTTACAAATTTGAGCTGCTTGGGACTAAATCCCCATGGTCGGGTCTGGATGTGAATTAGTCTAGCGCGGGTCTAATAATGTGACAAAAGGAGGAAGCAGCAGGGGAGGCACCTGGGTTTGTTCAGCGTTACCTAGTTTCTGTCCCAGGTCTGAACTCTGCCAAAGCATCATGGAGCAACTCACAACTTGCTGCAAAGTCCTAAATCATCTTGTTAGAGCGGTTCCTGGTTTTGTGGTCATATCTCCTTGCATCACAGAGCAGCAGAGCTTGAGACTGGGATGAGGATGCTTCAATTACCGGGCAACGTTAAATCTGGCCAGAGGGTTGTATTTGAGGGATGCAGGGCTCCCTGGTAATCTGATCTTCTTGCTGTGGTTTTCCCTTAGAGTTGGGGGAGAAGCAGCGCATCCACCGATTATCCAAGTAAAAGATAAGGAAGCTCTTTTGTGGGGGGATCCACATCAGCCCCTTGGCTGGTACAAATGGGCCAGGCCACGCTGCCCTGCTCCTAACCAGCCGAGTGCCTGGATTGTGGCACAGAAAAGGCCAGAAGACAAGTTTGCATGGAGCAGGCTCCTTTCCCTGGCATCGCCAGAAGGAAGAAATCAGGCGTGTTGCATGACCCGGTCATGAATCCTTGAATTCACGTGCTCAGACGCAGCATCTACTGGCCTGATTAGACAATGCTCTAGAAAACAGCTAGCAACAGACCTCTGCTGGCTGGGATAGAGGATCCTTAAGACTCCGTGTGCCTGTCTTCGCTCTTTCCCTGGTATTCATTCAGCATCCAGTTGCTCCCCAGCTACAAAGGGCACTTAGATGGGTGCACTAGGGAGAAACCCACCTGCTGGGTCCATGGTCTCCCTTCCAGCCCTTGTTCCTCCCTACAGTTCACATCACCCGCCCATCCCCTCTGCTGCCCCGTGCCTGGCTCTGCTCCACCCTGCGGACAGTCTCACTCACCTGGCCAGAGGCTGATCAGCATCATGAGTAATAGCAGGAGAGAGGCACGGCCACAGGCCGCTTCACCATCCATGTTCTCACTGCTCTGGCGGCTCTCTGTTCATCCGTGGGCAGAGACTAATATTGGAGCAGCGCCGGGGAGGAGCAAAGCTGGCCAATGGCACACTCTGCAGGAAGCTTGCAGCCTCGAGCTTGCATGGAGAGAACAAGCATGGGCTGAGTGCTCGTCCACTATGGCCTGGCGGAAGGTGCTGGGCACCTCTGGAGGAGACTGAGATGCTCCCAGTCGGCTGCAGCTTGGGCTGTCCTGACTGCACACCCCGGGTGCCAGGTGAGAACTGAGCGTGGGTGTCCTGAGGAATCCTCCAGCAGGATGCTAAAAGGATGTGGTTCCCGAGATGGGAATCCCTCTGAGCTAGGGGCTAAATCCTGTGCTGTAAGGAGGGCGCTGGGGCCGGTATAGGCACCGGTTTTGCACCAGATCGTTTGAAATCATAGGAGTGGATGCAGCAGCTCAGACTACCTAGTTCAGCCCCCTGCCAGATGCCAGATCCTGCTCCAGCCCAGGCAGACTCCTTTCCAGCCTCTGCTTGGAAACTTGCAGCTTTTTACATTGGTGCAAAACAATGGTGCACCTGGCAGCCTGTGCCGGGGCTGGGTTGCCTCTGCCCCAAGGCCGCTGAACCCACCTGTCAGGTCCTGCAAGGACCCTGCTGCACTCACCTGCCCTTGCTCCAGCGTCAAGGGGAGCTGGTTTCTTGAAGGCAAAACCTTCCTCTGCACAAGACAGAGCAATGGGATGACACTGGGAGGCAGGAAACTGGCAGAGATGGGCCCTGGGTCTGAGCTGGTCCAACCATCTCCTCTCTTGCCCCTGCCACAGAGGAGAGGGAGAACCCACACCCATATGTGGCCCAGCTGTCCCCAAAGGGATGGCAGTATCTTCCCCCCCTGACCATGAGCCGGATGCCTGGGTTCTGTCCTTGGCTCCGGGCTGACATGCAACCCCGAGCGAGCTATTTGTGCAGATCTGGGGGGGAGCGGGGAGGTATAAACAAAGACAGGGCAGAGCCTTCCAGCTTAAACTTTTTTGGGGTGGAAAATTCTGTTTCCAGTTGCCCAAAAACTTCTGCAGAAACTATCTGCTGTTCTTGGAAACTTGCCCTCATCCATCCCAGCCCCAGGACTGGGTGGGCATTTATTTCATACTTTTAGCCCAAAACTAGAAAAAAAAATCTGTGTTTCCAACCAGGAGCTGGATACATTTTGCAGCACTTAGAAAAGGATTTCACCCCACGTTGATGCCATCTTCCAGGGAGGAGGAGATTCCTGCCCCATTCTTGTTGCCCTGCTCAGCAAAGGGCTGCGAGACCAATGGCTGGAAACAGGGGAGTGCCCTTAATCAGAAGGAAAGAGCGTGTTTGGGTGGTAAGAAAGGAGCACAGAGCTTCCTTGTGGCATGTTTTGTTTTGGAGAAGGAAGTCTGGAGGGGGAGATGCCAGCTGTTTCCTGCCTTGCTGTTTGCTGCTCTGGAAAGTCACTTAAGAGAATTAACCCACTCCCAGCTGACTAATTAATCCAGTCCCTTTCTGTGGCATCTTCTGAGGTCTCAAGACACGTCCTTGGGCTCTCAGCGAGGCCTTGTGACCATCATATGCTCTTGGGAAATAATGCTGGTGCACAGTGCATCTGCAGGAGCACTCCTGTGAGTAGGGGTCAGTGGTGGTCAGGCTTCCAGGATGGGGCTTGGGGCATGGGTTTCCCCCCACTGCATTTTGCTTGCAAGAGAGGAAGCGAAAGCTCCTGATTTCAGTTGCCAGCTGATGGGGAAACCCACTGCACCGCAAAAGGGCTGAAGCAGCAGAAGGCGCTGGGGGGTGAAGGCTGGCCTTCCCAAGAAGGCCTAGAGGGAACCTGCATCTTTGCAGTCTGCACAGAGACGGGGCAGAGCTGCAGGCAATTCCCGCAAACGGGCAATCTCAGCGCTGCAGGGGTTGCACATCAGACCCAGGGGGCAGATGGGTTGGGATGTCCCACCAGGCTCCTGCCACCCCCTCCCTAGCATCCACCTGCACAGCACCATCCACAAGGAATGAGACCCAGCCCAAGTCGGGGGTTGGGATAGAGGGTTAAACTCCCCAGCCCAGAAATTCATCCCCTAAAGCCATTCAAGTCCATAGTCTCCAGCTGGCAGCAGAGATTTCCCCCACGAGATGGCTCCGTGGCTGGACGGGTTCCTCTGTGAATGCCTGGGGGTAGCACTGGCACCCATGCAAGCTGCTGCCGTGGTCCTCAGAACTGCAGTGCTTCACACTTTCCTGGTGCGGGAGACTGTTGCAATCGGCAGAAGGACTGGCGCAGAGCCGTTCATCTCCCAGAGGCTCAGGAGATGGGGTAGGGGAGCTGTCAAGGCCCAGAGCAAGCTGGGAGCTTGTCAGTGCCAGGCTGCGCTGCAGCACAAGGTAGAGCAACCCCAGAGCTGCTCCGATCTGTGCCCACCGTGATTGGGAAGGGTTTGCTCCAGCTGCTGGGGGTCCCAGGGCACAGCACAGCCCTGCCCGCCTTGGACAGCCAGGAGAGCCCGGAGGCGAGGGCGCAGAGCTGGCTAGGCAGGATGCGGCCACTGCTTTAGTGGCTTCCCTGATGCTCAGGACAGCATTGCAGATGGGGCCTCGTGGGGAAGAATCACTGCCATGAGTTGTGCGTGGCTTTGGTGTGATAGGGCTGTAATTCCCCCATAGACATGTACGTGCACACACACACTCCCAATGCAGCAGAACTGATGGGGATGAGGCCAGGAGTAGGGCAGAGCTGCTGATTTAGTGGCGTGGGGAGGAAGAGAGGAGCCCAGCAGCCCTGCCCCAGCACTGACAACAGGGCCTCTTTCCTGCCCCAGCTCCCGGGCACTGCAGGCCGGGCAGCCTCACTTTCTCCCTGCCCAAATGGTCCCCCCCAGCCTCAGCCGGCATGTAGCTGGCTCCTAGCCAGACGGGATGCTGCGGTGAGAAAGGTGCGAGCCAAGCTCTCACTTGGTGGCTGCACTACACCACAGCCCAGCTCCTTCATGGCACCTTGTGGGGAGGAAGAGTGCAACCTCCCCTCACCTTGATGTGCTGCTAGCACCAGTACAGCCTCTCCCATGGGGGCACCAGCTGCGAATTGGGACCCCATGGTGCTAGAAGCTGTACAAAGCCAAAGCAAGATGTGGCCCCTGCCCAAAGAGCCCCCACTCTAAACCTTGTGCACTTTAGTTACACTCACACACGTGTGCTACGGTCAACGCAGGCGCGATCGTTGGCCCCTTCCAACCCCATAACCCCGTACCGTGATCCATCGCTCCTGGCAGGAAGCTTGCAGCCAGCCCAGACACAGACTCCTGCTCCACAGACCGCAGACAAACAGCTGCCTGGGCAGGAACCGGGTGCAGCACTTCCCCTGCTCCAAGATCCAGGTCTGAAGCCAGCCCAGGATCCTCATCTTGCACGTACAGGCTCAAACACAAAACAGGGAGCTCTGGGGGGGTCTGATCCAGGACCCAGCAGCCCCAAGCACAGCTCAGCTGTGTGGACCGAGGTTGTTTCCATGTGGCGGCAATAAGACGGAGGTGAGGCATAATAAGGGGTGGAGAATACACCTTGGAGGGCAGAGCCAGGGGCTCCAGTCACTTGCATGGAGCTACCTGGAATGGACCCAAGGAAGAGAGAGACAGAGGTCTGGAAACTGGGAAGGGAGCCGCCAGAGGTTGGACTAGATGTGACCTCCTGAGGTCCCTTCCAGCCCTTGTTTTCTATGATTGCACGTACTCTTGGTTGGGTAGCTGCATGCGGCTGCAACACCACTGCTCTTGGCAGTGGGAGCACGCATGACTCTTATGCATGGCCATGTCTGGGAGTGTGGTTTTCCCCTGAACTTGGACTCATAAAAGCCCAGGGGTTTTTGCCCATGGGAACTGTGTGTGCAGGGAGCCCAGCAGGAAGTGAGCCATGGTCTTGATGCAATCACAGACTGCCCCTCCATCTGTCCACCCTCCCTCTCTGGCCGTCTGTCTGCCTGTTGCAAACTGCTTCAAGCAGGATCAGACCCAGCTACATCATCCCAGCCAAGCCGGGTCTTAAGCACATGTGCACACAAGCACACAAGTTATAGGCATGACACACAACTGTTCAGCCAATGTAGGGCAGCAAGTATGAACCTTATAGACTAGCCCAAGTATCTATCTATCTATCTTTCACTGGGTTTTTGGCTGTAGCCACATTGGTCTAAAGACATAGGCAGGCGCAAGGTTCTTTGAGTAGAGGTGATAACTTTTATTAAACTAACTGAATAGTTGGAGAAAAGTTCTTGGCAAGCTTTTGGGCGCAATCACCCATCTTCCTATGCCTGATGAAGGGTGATTGTGCCTGAAAGCTTGCTAAGAACTTTTTTCCAACTACTCAGTTGTTTTAATAAAAGATATCACCTCTATTCAAAGAACCTTGCCTGCCTACATCTTTCACAACATTTGATGAAGCGAGCTGCAGCTCCTGGAAGTTTGTGCTATATATCTACACACACACCTGCACAGCCCCACACTTTGCTTAGTTTAAAGGTGCAAATCTACCTTGTCTTCCACTTGATTTCTGACTATCTATGTACTACATATGTACTTCGTAGCTACCTACATCTCTCAGCTCTTCTGAGCCAGAACAGACCCTGGCACCATCAGAAAGCTACAGCTGCCCTCCAGTGGCTACGCAGGGCATGAAGTGGGTGGGAAGTGTTAGTGTGTGGACACTGTCTGGGGCTGAGGCAGACCCCGCCGGGGGATGATGGCTTGACTGTGGAGCTATGGACACCCCAAGAGCCCTGATACACAGGTAGATGAACTCTTTGGGTAAAGCAATATCCCTGATACACAGGTGTGATAACAAGATGTGCAGATGCACTGGGTTAGGAAGTTACAGTCATGAGGGACAAAGGTAGCATGCAAGGAGGGACACAAGGGGCAGGGGTTAGGGGGAGCAGAAGGCTGGTCCTGCCCAGCCAGCCTCAATGCTCGTGTGGAGCCGGTGACACCCATGGTGGGTGACTTGGTCCCAGGGTACGTGCCAAAATGGAGTCTGCCACGGAGAAGAATGTGGCGAGGAAGAAAACAACACGGAATGACTTATCACCTGCTTCGGACTTGGTGATTGCAGGGCCAGAGGGGACCCCAGACCCACTGTCTCCCACCAGCTAGGAAACATCAGCCAGGAGCCCCCTTGTGAGCCTGACCGCCTGCACTCACCACAGCAAGAGGCTGGAAAAAGAGAAGGAGCCTCCAAGAAGCTGCATGGTCGCTGCTTTCCACCAGAGGGGACTGCAAGCCCAGGAAAGAGCCGCCGATCCTGAACAACTCCAGCTCCAGCCCCTCCACGTAGGGAACAGGTTCGTGCCACGGCCGTGGCCATTCATCACCTGCTGCCCACAGAAAACCAGTTACTTCGCAAAGATTTACTGCCCCAGCTCAGGCTGTGGCTACTTGTGCCAGGGCCAGGAGCCTGCC